TTACAGGATAGATGAGAGTGTATATATATCTATCTATCTGTGTGTCTGTGTGCAAACACACACACAGTCATACACACATATATACACTCCCCTCATATATAAATACATATATACATATGTATACATAAATATGTATATATATATATATATATATATATATATATATATATATATATATATATATATATATATATATATATACATACATACACACATGTGAATATATATCATATAATTTATTTGTACAATAGAGTACAAAATGTGTATATATTGTAAAGAATGACGCCATAAAACGATGAACCGAAGAGAAAACGAGACAGAACATTACTGTATATTAAATCACCTCAAAGATGGTCAAGGAATTTCTTCCTCTCAAGACATTCATTATTTATTCCCTCCCCCCCCCCTCTCTCTCTCTCTCTGTCTCTCTCTCTCTCTCTCTCTCTCTCTTCTCTCTCTCTCTCTCTCTCTCTCTCTCTCGCTCTCGCTCTCGCTCTCTTCTTCTCTCTCTCTCTTCTCTCTCTCTCTCTCTCTCTCTCTCTCTCTCTCTCTCTCTCTCTCTCTCTCTCTCTCTCTCTCTCTCTCTCTCTCTCTCTCTCTCTCTCTCTCTCTCTCTCCCTCTCTCTCTCTCTCTCTCTCTCTCTCTCTCTCTCTCTTCTCTCTCTCTCTCTCTCTCTCTCTCTCTCTCTCTCTCTCTCTCTCTCTCTCTCGCTTCTTAATCCTTCCTCACACGACTTCTAAAGAAAAGCCTGAGACTTTTTTTATTAATCCTTTCTTCTTCTTACTTCCTTTTTCGCTTTCTTTTCCGTTCCTTTCTTCCTTATTGTCTTTCTTTCTTTTTTCTTTTTCTTTTTCTCTCTCTCTATTCTTTTCCTTTCTTTCTTTTTTTTATGTTTCTTTGTGTCTTCTACTTCTTCGAGGTGGCAGTGGGCGGCAGGCGGGACGACTGAGCCCGGCCAGCTGCCATGGACGCCCGCACGCCCATCTTGCGCCCAAAAGAGAGGATTCTATGACGTAATACGTTCGATAAATGCACTATATATTGCCCTTTTTTCATGACGTAATACTTTCGATAAATGCACTATATATTCATTCTTTTTCATGACGCAATACTTTAGATAAATGCACTATACATTCACTCATTTCATGACGTAATGCTTTCGATAAATACACTATATATTCACTCATTTCATGACGTAATGCTTTCGACAAATGCACTATATATTCACTCTTTTTCATGACGCAATACTTTAGATAAATGCACTATATATTCACCTTTTCATGCACGCGCGTGTGGACAGTTTATTGCATTCTCTTACCCATAAATCTGCGTGTATACAGGTAATTTTTCATGTCTATACTAACATAAATTCATACCTATACACATCATGTATTTACGAACGAACCCAGAGTATCTATAAAATATTATAAAGTTATAAAACTTTAATACGCACGTCTACCATTTTTTTTTTAATATATATACATACATTTTTTTTTCAAGATATTCAAATCTACACAACAACATTATTATGCAAGCGACAATATATTATTTTTTCTTAAGAACAAAATTGAAGAAAGTTTTAGAAGTTTATGAAAAAGTAGAGAAAGCAAAGGATTTCCGGCACATTTTTTGTTTTTCTTCTCCAAGCATAAAAGTAATTATATATTATATTATTTTACGGGAAGCATGAATTTTTATTTTGCTCTATTAAGAACTTGTATCTTACACTAGAGATGGCGCTTACATATTCTCTTGTTAATACTTCTGTTAAAGTGAGTTTATAATCATATTATAACAAGATATCAATAAAAAGAATGAAAATAAATACTACCATACTTGAAAAAATATATATCCACAAAAATAGACCTATTCACACGTAGCAAAGCGAATTCTGCTGTAAAAATACCTATTCATTGGGATGAAAATGAACATACCTGAATACATACACGCATTTATATAAACATGTACATAATCAAACCTTAAAACACACATATTCGAATACATACACGAATTCGAATACATACATATGTAAGTACATACACGCACAATCTCACACACTCGCACAAATTCATTCACTGATGCATCGAAGCATTTGCAAAGTCCGTTGCACCCGAAAGACACAAAGAAATCGAGTTTACACGATTTAATATCATTCAGCAACACATGATTTGCAACTGTTGAAAACCATTAACATTGCAATATGATTCGTCTCTCTTTCATTATGTTGTGTGTCGTACCAATACACAAGGAGAGAAGAGAGAAAGAAAAACATGGATAATAAACAGAGTGACGTAAATAAACACTAAAACATAGGTTATATTGATAACAAAGATAGACAATAAACATAGTGATAACAACAACATTGCGTTTCAAGAGTCGACTCTCTTAGGGGGAAAAAAATGTCAACCTTCACCTTGGTCCACAGAGCCGGTTTTCCCGCCCGAACCTGAAGGAATGTGGACCCTAAGCGCCGAGGAAAAGACAACCGGAATCCTAGTGTCAGGTGTGTGTGTGTCAAGTCATCCTCGGTGTCAAGTGTCAATCGGAAAGACAGAGCCTGAGGTGGGGGGGGAGG